ATTTTGATGTTTTTGCGACATTATTCACGGAATTGTTTCAAGTTTCGTATTTGAATATTGTAATGGCCTACGGAAAAAATGATTATACGAGTCCACGTGTTCATATATACCCCACATAAATGTACCTCCCTATATTCAGTATTTTCACACGACATTGTTCACCGGATTTTTTTTTAATTTCGAATATGAATATTGTAGCAGAATATGCAGATCCATGTCTTCTTATGATTTTACCGTAATTCCCTATATTCGTTATTGTTATGATTTTAATAGTGTTTTTTAACTTATTTTATTTATTTATTCTTTTCTGTGTTTGCAAATTTCCAAATTCTTTCCAAAGGGTGCAAAGTATTCACAATTCACCCCTGCCGAACTTAATGCTTTTTTACTTGTTGCATGTAAGAAGTATCGAAAAAGTGTTGACTTTTCTTAAAACTTTTATAATGTCCAGGATCTACAAATTTCTTGCAGTGTTCTTCCTGCTAATTGCCAGTATTACAATTTATCTAATTAGCAATTGCTTTAGTTTTTCTCTTTTCGCAACATTGCCCTCCGCCAACACTTTTTGGAAAATTTCGTCGGTCCTATACGTAGTATTGTTAACTTTTGAAACTATTTGTATTGATTGTTTATAAAAAATGTATGTGCGTATGAATACGTATACATATTTACACGGAGAGATCACAAATAGGCCGATCTACAAACAGATAGTCGAGAGGGAATGCCAATCGTTTCACACAATTGAAAGCGTTTAGCAATCCACTACAAAATTGATGCTGTTTCTTTTCGTTTGTTGTCGTTGTTGTGATTGCTGTTGGTGTTTTGTTCAAAGACCTCTGCAATACTTTTATATTTCCACAGACGAAGGGAGGAATGAAAAAGAAAAACGATGATGCTACTCTAGAGTTCTTATAGTTTCGGGTCAATAATGATTTTACAGTCATTTTCGGATTTTTCTTCAGTATCCAAAAAAAAAAAACAACAATAATAATAAGCAGGGCCGGGTGAAGTTAATAGAAATTGGGGGAGGCGCTCTGGAATGTACTAATTATGAATGAATGCATTTTACTAGCTGGCAAACTGTAGAATAATGGTGATAATTTGCCGTCTATTGGAACTTTAAAGCATTTAGTTAGGATGAAATCTTTGGGAGACCCGAAACTATAAGAACTCAAGTGTAGAATCATCGTTGCTTTCATCCCTGAAGAAGATGGGGTCGATACCAAATAAATTCAAGGACTGTCTTCACTTTCCAAAATAAGGTGAATGCTGCACAATTTTGTCTTTCTATTTTAAATTCGATTGATAAAGTAATAGTCAAAAATTCCTAGCAGGACTGTATGACGAGGCAACACACCCATTTCTTAAATATAGCGACGAATTTTTTCATATTTATTTGAAAAAAATGTTAAACTAAACGGATTAATAAAGTGGGATAAAATATTAAAACATGGAATGTCGATCAAATCTTTTTAAGATTTGTAACTAAATTTTTTTCCAATTGGTGTTATCTGAAAGAAAACACCAAAAAATTACAAAAACAATGGAAACATTTTTAGACCATATAAGGGAAATATAAACAATTGAACCAATGATTGACGTCTTTAAAATTGATTTGATTTATTACGATGCGTAAATGTTGGTCCGAATAATGCGAATGATGGTTATGTACCGATATTACTATGTCCAAATTTGAATTAAATCTTGCTCTCCACCATATATAGTATGGAGGGTATATTAAGTTCGTCATTCCGTTTGTAACTCATCGAAATAATCATTTTAGACCCAACAAAGTATATATATTCTTGATCAGCCATGTTTGTCCGTCTGTCTGTTGTAATCACGCTACAGTCTAAACAAATTAAGATAGGAAGCTAAAATTTTGCACAGATCTCTCTTTTGTCTGCAGGCAGGTCAAGTTCGTAGATGGGCTATATCGGCTCACGATATCGTATAGCCCCCATATAACGGTACCCCGCGATATTCGGTATTTTGATGATTTTAGACACAGTTTTCTATGGAATTGTCTGAAATTCCACACGAGGAGTTCATTGTGAGTACTTTATCCCTGGGAAGAGAATTATCTATATAGGTCTACGATATCGTTAGCCCCCCATATAACGGTACCTCCGATTTACGGTATTTTGATGATTTTAGTTACATTTTTCAACAGAATTATCTGAAATTGTACACAAGAGGTTCTTTGTGAGCACTTTACCCCCTGACAGAGAATTCTCTATATAGGTTAACTATACCGTATATCCCCCATATAACGGTACCCACTATATTCGGTATTTGAGGATTTAAGCCATATTTTCCAATGGTATTGTCTGAAAAATCCACACTTTAACCCCTGAAAGGTAATTGTCTATATAGGTCCACAATATCATATATCCCCCCATATATCGGCACCTTCCGATATTAGATATTTTAAAGATTTTAACAGAATTTTTATTGGATTTAATTTTTTGAAAATTTTCTAATTCGTTCCAAATGGTGGAGGGTATTCAAAGTTCGGTCCGGCCGAACTTACTGCGCTTTTACTTGTTCGCTTTGTTAAGGTTTTCAATATTTCCAGCAAAGGGACAGGAGTAGTCGACGATCTCTGTTATCTTTACATTAGACCTGAAGAATTTCAGTTACTCTCTCAGTTACCCTCTCAGCGATATGGCTACAGAGGCTATATATCATTCGATAAGGCCAAAACGTGCCTCAGCGAAATAACGGTTTTAGACCCTAGGTATCTTGAAACCAAATATGTGGAGTGTCCGTCCCTCTGTCTGACTGGTGTGCACGATAACACTCGAAGGGAGAATCCGATTTGGTTCAAACTTGGTACATCGTGATATTACTATCAAACTTAGATCGAGTTGGGAGATGGTCAATATCGGTCGACTCCTTCTAGGTTAAAACTCTTACGAAGTGTGAAATAAGGGTCCGATTGTCTTTTCGTTTCGAGGTCGACAGTTTCAACAACCATGGAGCCCATATCGAGCATCCGATTCTCCGCAAATTGCATACATTCCAATAGAGGGTGAGATAAAAAACTGCAACAAAGTCAAAGGCCATAATTTTTATAATTATTTTTATTAATTTTATTGAATGAAAGCAAAAAATTGCCGGAAATAGCATCAAATCTTAGAATGAGATTAGATTTGTTCAAATTGGTCACCTTTGGCACGAATTATGGCCTTCAAACGGCCAATGAAACCGTCACATGCTGCCCGAATGTTGCTCTGCGGTATTTTGGCTCATTCCCGGCGAAGCACTTGCTTGAGGTGATCGACACTTTGGTATTTTTTAGTGCCAACCTTGGTTTCCAAAATACTCCAGACACAATAGTCCAACGAATTGGTACCCGGAGATTTTGGTGGCCATTGTGCGCTGCAGATGAAGCGAGGAACCTCATTTTGTAACTATTCTTGGGTGGCGCGTGCTGAGTGCGATGGTGCTGAGTCCTTTTGAAATGGCCAAGGTCTGCGGCCAAAATATTTGCGTGCCCAAGGCTTTAATAAATCCTCCAGAATATTTTCGCGACAATACTCGGCATTTGTTCTGATGCCACCGTCGATTAATACGAGCGGAGAGCGACCATCGGCCGTTATTTCAGCCCACACCATGCTTGAGTTCTAGTGGCCAACCGAAGGTTCACATTTTCAGCTGACCTCTTTACCAAATAAATACGATCATTTTGTTTGTTTACAAACTGCTGGAGAATGAATGTTTTCACATCGAAGAAAGCCAAAATCGTCAGTTCACCACTTTCGGCCAAGCGAGGCAACTCTTAAGCTCTTTTGAGTCTATTTTCTTTCTGTTGCGGTGTAAGTTCTTGCACTTTTTGGAATTTCAATGGCTTTATCCTGAGCTCGTTTTTCAATATTTGCCGAATGGAATATTGCGATATGTTCAGCTCACGAACCATTTTTCGGCACTGCGATCAAGTCGCTTCTTTACTTTTCGAACCATTTCTGCTGATGTTGCTGCAGTGGTGGAGGGTATTCAATGTTCGGCCCTGTTAAAATATCCATAATGAATTTCATTTTTGTTGTTGGAATCAACAGCGGTTATTATGAACAAATGCCTTCTTATACAACACACTATATTGCAGAAGGTATATTAGGTATGTCATTTCGTTTAGAATTCCACGAAATAATCAATTTAGACCTCACGAAGTGTATACATTTTATTCTATATCTGACTGTGAAAATTTCTCTAGCTTCCAAATTGAAAAGTATTTTGATAAAAATTTACTCAAATGATAATATACACCAACCGGATTATCGACAGATATATTCTATAAGTTTTGACCTAATTTCTTCTCGTTTTTTGAAAAAGTTTGAAATTTTGTAGAGAGTTGTCGATATTACAAACTAATTTCACATTTTTGAAAATTATTATTTTTCATTATCTACAAATTTTCAACGTTTTGCGGAGAAGGAGTGGTCATATATATCCTTGCTGTTGAGAGAAGTATTGAGTCGATAATATATTTCACCTTTTTATCAGAACTCAAAGTTTGGACCATTTATTGGATGGGTACCAGAAAGAATGTACCGATATATTCCATTTTCACCCTTGCTAAGCCACATCGGAATATTTTCAATGAGGCACATTTTGACTTTACCCAATAAATTATTTCCTCTGAATAAAAACTGTCTTAAGAAGAGCAAAAAGTAAGTTTTCCATCGATTAATTTCGAGAAATGGGAATCGATGCAACGCCTCTGTCTAAACCAGAGAAAACTTAAGAAAAACAATAAAACGCATTTCTTCGTGTTATTTGTTATTGTTGCTTCCGACGAAATTCTGACGAAATGTATTTGCATGTGTGTGTGTATTGGAAAATCTTTTGTTTTTGGAATGTCCAACAACACCGCTTTTCTTTTATTGTTGTGTTCACATTGTGAAAATGTCTGAGTATTTCCATGTGTGTATGCATGTATGTGTTGGGGTATACGATTAATATGTTTATGTTGGGAGGGGGTGGAAACATTTTTCTGATCGAAAGAAAACTCATCCTCTTAGCGGCGGTAAAATCACAAAAATTAGTTGAACAACAAACACCTAAGAGGCACATCGGTGATCAATTTTTATCAAAGTTAACTCAAATAAAACAATCCCGCCAACATGGATGATCAATTCATTGTAAGTGTCATGGAATGGTGGAAAATTTAAAAGAAAAATAATTTTGGTGGAAATTGAAAATATTACATGAGAAAGAGGAACTGAAGAAACATTAAAGGATTAATGTAAATCTGTGTAATGTTGATATTCGACCATTATTGGAGTTGTGAAAATCAAATGGGTATAAGAATTTCTTCTGAAAAAAATTGTCTTAAAATAAATAAATCTTAAACGACTAAAAACAACACTAAAATGAACAGCGAAGATCAGATTGTGAATTTAAAACAATTGAAGTTTTTCAAAATGAACGACAATGATAAACTTTTTCGACAATTGCATTTGAATTTTATTGTATCAACTGATTGGCCATCTCAATCCTGCGCATAGATAGTTATTGTGAGACATGTATTTTTGATAAAAGTAATTAAAAAATATTGTACAAAATAAATAAAACACACATGAAATTACTTTCAAAATTAGTTATTGTGAAAAAATTGGATTTTTTAAGTTTCTACAAAATTTTCTGTTGGTCTCTGTAAAATTCGAATCCATCGAATTCGATTTACCACAATCCCTTAAAATAAATTGTTTTATGAAATCATGGGACTCCTAATAACTCCCTCAGACTATGACAGTCCCTGCAAGTATCGAATACGAACGTTACTGCAAAATCCCTTAAATCACACAAATTGTTTTCAGAAAACATAAAACTCCTAATAACTGCCTTAAATACAATCAATTACATTTTATAATTTTTTTTTTAAGATTTTAAAAAACGGTTTTTTTAACAAAAAATAAATGCCTATCATGTTGTAAATAATAAATTTTTTTTTTGCATTTCCCTAGGATGAAGATCTTACCCCCGAGCAAATCGCCGTTTTGCAAAAGGCTTTCAACAGTTTCGACAGCCAAAAGTGCGGCAGTATCTCCACCGATATGGTTGCCGATATTTTGCGTTTGATGGGTCAACCCTTCGACAAGAAGATCTTGGAAGAACTCATCGAAGAAGTCGATGAAGACAAGTCTGGCCGTTTGGAATTCGAAGAATTCGTTCAATTGGCTGCCAAATTCATTGTTGAAGAAGATGCTGAAGCTATGCAAAAGGAATTGCGCGAAGCTTTCCGTTTGTACGACAAACAAGGCAACGGTTACATCCCCACCTCCTGCTTGCGTGAAATCTTGCGCGAATTGGATGACCAATTGACCGATGAGGAATTGGACATCATGATTGAAGAAATCGATTCTGATGGTTCCGGTACCGTCGATTTCGATGGTAAGTAGCAAAGATGAAAGAATAACAAAAACAAAAATGTTTTGAGCAGCTAATTAGTATTTTATGACAAGAGTTGAATGTCTTAATCTGTCAGAAGTGTCTGTGGGTGCCTCATTTTTTCAATGTTTGAATTTTTGTTAAGGCAAACAAAAATTTGTGACATTTTGGCAAAATGTCTATTGTCGTGAAAATGTGCTTTTGTTTGAATGCGAATGACAGCAAATTTTGACACATGATGGATATTTGTCAAATGGTTGTGTCTTCGAAAAATAGCAACGATAAGTGGCTGGGACAAATGGGAAATTGCGTGGCGCCCAACAAATATAGAAAGAAATTGCGCGTTTAATTTTAATTTGTTTTATTGACACACGAAAAAGTTATTTCAAAATACCCAGTTAAGATTACCTACAAGGGTATTATCTTAAATTATATGACTTATAATCCTTCTACGGTTAAAGATGTTTTCAACTCACTTGGGCCACAATATATTAAATGATTGAGAAATCGTTGTCATTATTGTTGTTTCTATAAAAATAACGTTTATTTATTAGTGGAGAAAATGGCAATTTTTACCGGAAGATCTGACTATATTTATTCGGGCAAATTAAAATTCAAAATAAATAAAAACAAGTAAGCAAAGGCTACAGTCGAGCGGGGCCGACCGTTGAATACCCTACAACACTATAATAAACGATACAGTTTATATAGGCAAGATACTCGAAAGAATTCCACAAGATATTGTGACAAATAATAAAAGAAAACCATCAGGTTTCGTTCTCTAATTTTCGAATAATAGCAACTTAAACTAATTTGCTCATTTCCAATTTATTGGTAGATGTTGCACTTAAATGGTCTTCCTAGATCTGGAACCAATATTTCCCAAAGACCTATAATCTCTCAGAGGTGGCAAAAGATTAACATTTATTATTGGTTTTTGACTGAAACGCATCTATATCAGATACAGACATTTGACTATATTCTTCAACGAAATCAGCCTTAACGAAATAGTCAGAAGTGCGTCTTTCCTGTATTTGTGAATTCTCCAAAAAGTCACTGGAATGGACATTTTCGTATTTTGTCTACAAAAGTTGGCAAACTCCTTCACACATTGAATATTTTTGGATGGCCATCCAGAACTGCTTGGCTTTTGCAATGTCCGGTAACCCCCATAATTACGACCTGCTGACAATTTTGCAGTTTTTTGGTCCATTTCAACCCCTAAATATATGGCGATCATCTTCAAAAAGAATAGGTTTTTATTCTGACCCTCATCTTATCTCCATGCAAAATTTCGTAAGGATCGGGCCATAAATGCGATCTGTATATGATATCCTGATATCCTAAGTACTTAGTTTTGTTAGCTGTAGAAATATTACCAAATGTTCAAATCAAAATGAAAATATGCCAAAAATATGACAAAATTGAAAAAATATGAGAAAATTTTACAAAATCAATATTTTCATCTTTAGAGAGATATTTTTATGCGATTTTTTCGACGTTTTATGTTTCCTGCCAAGAGGTCATTCTGAATTAATGAGAACTGTCGAAATCAGTTCAGCCGTTCTCGACATATAAGAGATTTTTCAAGCATATCTTCTTTGGTAAACATATATCGCACATATTTTGCTATATATCCGTTTTATTGGATGTTAACATCAATATAAAGATCAGAAGTAACCTTGTCATGGCTTTGTGATTTCGCCGGGATTTAAAATATTCGCGGTTTAATGAAAAATTTTGAATTTTTTCAACAAAAAAGGTATTGTCTATTTTACCCGCTAAATATTATCCGATGACCACCCAAATAGGTAGGCTTCTTGCCAGCCCTAAACTCTAGCTACATGCGAAATTCCGCGTCGATTGGTCTATAATTGCGACCTGTAGAGCAAGTGCAAAATCAGGATTTTTTTCAGTTTTTGGTCCATTTCAACCCCTAAATATTATGCGATCATCACCAAAAGAAATAGGGTTCTATTCTGACCATAGCCCCACCTCCATTTTAAATTTCGTTAAGATCGGACCATAATTGCGACCTGTACAGTGATTACAAATTAACATGGACAGACGGACAGACGGACAGACGGACGGACGGACATACATAGCTAGATCGACTCAGCTCGGCGAGATAGGAAGATCCATATATACTTTCCTATGTGGGAAATCAATATTTCGTGGTGTTACATAATTTTTGGGCCAATCAAACTTATAATACCCCCAACACATAGTGTTGTAGGGTATAATAAAATAAAATTGAATTTTTAAAACTTTTATATGAATACCAGCAAGTTCCAACTAATTCTTCAGCGAAAAGTCCACCTTAAAAATTTAAATTATTTCCAACAGTTCGTGTTAGGGCATTTTAGTACCCAAAATTCACAAATTTTCAGACCTTCAAGGTTTTATTTTTTTTTTAAGTTGTTCCTAGTTCTGAAAGACTAATAGGAAAATGTTTAGCCTCAACACCAAAAATGTCTTCAAAATCTTTCGTTTTGAAGTTTACTGAGGAGAATATTAGTAACACCATTGCACAATGGACCCAACAATTATTGTCCACCAGACCTCCACACCAGAGACCTCAATTTGAAATTTCGGAGTTCTAGCACAATACATTCACTCAATATTATAATAAACATTTCCAAACCCATCCCCATATATCAATTCCAGATACCAATAGAGGCCTAAAAATCAATTTTGAGGATTCCAGTCCTATCCTTTCATCCAATACATTTCGTACTTAGTACTTTTCAGACAAAATACTATACATGTTTACTACTTTTCGGATAAAATAGTACTCATTTTCAAAAACAACTTCATGTCTCAATTTAAGATGCCAACAGAGACCTCAATATCAAATTTAAAGATTAAAGCCCTATCTTTAACCCAATTCCAAATTTGGTACAATTCAGTATTTTTCGTACACTTATAGTACACATTGTCAAAACCACCTTCATATGTCCAGGCTACATATGAACCGCGACCTCAATATCAAATTTCAAATTTCAAGCACTATCACCCAATACCAAATTGTACCAAATATAGTGCTCCTAAGTACGTTTCGTGCACTTGTAGTACACATTTCCAAAACTATCTCTTTGTCACAAACCTACCACCAACAGGGATCTCAATACAAAATTTCAAAATTTCAGGTTTATTCGTTCACCTTATTCCAAACTGTTCCAAATTTAGTACCATTTGCTACAACAGTTCGTACATTTTATTCACACTTCCAAAACCACCATCAGATATCAAACATCCTCTCTAATCTTGATTTTCATACCAAATTTCAGGCTTTTAACTCTGTCCGTTAATACCAAAGATTTAGAAGATTAGTACCATTTTCGAACTTTTCGTGACCTAAAAATTCCAAAAACCCTGCACTATATCAGTGGCTCTCATTCCAAGTTTCAAGCTTATTTAGTTTGTCCAGTATTATATTAGATTTTTAGTACATTTCAGTACATTTCTCGTGCAAAATTTTAAGATTGGTCGTTTCATCTGGGCGTTGATTTAAGATGAGTTCGTCAGTCAGTTATTTCACTACTCTTTTATAGATATAACTATTACCATTAAAGCGCTTCTTTAAAAATGGGTATTAATGAAAAAAAAATTAAACAAATTTTAATTTCCAAAAAAGAAATGATATTTTTCTCAAGCAAAAAGAAAACGAAAATGGTGAACGTTATTTAATATTTCATACTAATCTCACCATGTCTAGCGAAATAGAAAAAAAAAAAAAAACACCAGCAACTTGCCAAAATGACAAATTGTCCATATCCATAACAAATAGAACTAAATATTTTTCTATTCCAAAAACAAAACAAAAAATTAGAACAAATGGAAAACACTATAATTTTTGAGACGGCTAGATAGAGATATTGAGGTTATTTTTATAGTTGGTTTGACAAAGCACTTACGCAGGCTACCAAATGTTTATCCCCCTGACAAGGAGAAGCAATTTATACACCCCCACATACAGCTTAATACACATAGGCAATGTCAGAGGGCCCAACACAGCACAGCATAACATAACATAAACAAAACATAACAACAACAAATATATAAAAACTAAAAATAATTTTTAGAAAATGAAATACTCACAGACACGCGCACACACACTCATATATACAAACATTGAATAGTTTCCACAATATTTAATCCAAAATATTTTCTTCTATTTTTTTGTTCTTTCAGAATTCATGGAAATGATGACTGGTGAATAAATTCTTTGATTTTGTTTGCTAAGAACAACAACAACAACACCAACATTCTCATTAAATATATATACACACAACAAACACAAAATCAACACAGAAACATCACCAACAAAAACACAACAACAATACACATAGTCAAATTTTATTAATTGTATAATGATAACAACCCCAACAACAAAAACATAATGTAATTATAAAGAAATAAAACAAATTTGTATTTTTTGCTTTTTTTTACTTGTAAAAATATGTAGTTTGATTCCATTGTGTTTGACGGGAAATTAAATTGACGAGTCAGTTCATATAAAGCTAATCTGATCCAATTGAGTTGCTAATGATGTGATCATATTACTGATGATTAGCCATTCTATTACGTCGAATTGTTGGATGTATTCTGCTCAAATTACGATTTGCAAAATTATTACCGATATACAGTCTGATGCCGTTGTCATGAGGGTACATGATTTGAATAAAGCTAAATAGATGGGAATTACGTTTCCTCATATCCTCAGCCTTATGGCAGCAGAGGGTATGTCGAAATAACAGTGTAGGTCTGAAATCCATTTCAGAACCATTGGGGTCGATATAGTCAAATCTGTCTGTCTGGTTAGTGTACACTACAAATTTCGAAACATTTTTGCCACATTTAACTCGTGTTCCCTCCCTCGACAAAAGTTTACATTTTTTAATAATAGTTCCAATTTGACACACGGCAATAATTACAGGGTGAGATAAAAAAACTGCAACTAAGTCAAACGCCATAAATTTTACATTTTTTATTAAATTTTATTGAATGAAAGCAAAAAATGTCGGAAATAGCTTCAAATTTTAGAATGAGTTTAGATTTGTTCGAATTGGTCACCTTTGGCACGAATTATTGCCTTCAAACAGCCAATGAAACCGTCACACGTTGCCCGATTGTTGCTCTGCGGTATTTTGGCCCATTCCCGGCGAAGCGCTTGCTTGAGGCATTTATTCTGATGCCACGGTCGATTGATCGGGTGTTATGGCGGACCACACCATCACCATGGCCAGCGCTTGAGTTCTGGTGGCCAACCAAAGGTGCTCATTTTCAGCTGACCTCTTTAGCAAGTAAACACGATCATTTTGTTTGTTAACAAACTGCTGGACAACGAATTTTTTCTCATCGGAGAAAATTGGGCAGTTCAGCACTTCCGGCCAAGCTAAGCAACTCTTTAGCTCTTTTGAGTCTATTTTATTTCCGTTGCGGTGTAAATTCTTGCAATGTTGATGTTGATGTTGCTGTTTTGTTCCGTCCACTTCCTTGACGTCGGGCTACGCTACCAGTGTTACCAGTAACGAGCGATGGTATGAAACACAAAAGATTTATTCACATTTAAATGCTGATGTGCTCTAACGATAGCCACTTGTGGTTTTCTAGTCAAATATAAAGAAGTCACACTATCCCGCTTAAATTCCATCACGAATAACTCTTTTTCCGGAAAATTCTCACCAAAATGCTTTTGTACGCTTGTAAACAGTATAATGAGCTGTCACTGCCATAATTTTAACAGCTGTCGGACGAGTGGCTTAGAAATGACAGCAGTCTGTAGTCAAATATAGGGAGTTACCGTCATATTGGATCTGAATCAATCAATCAATCAATCGATTCCTTGAATAAATTCCGGTGAATAATGACCCTGTACTGAGAACAGGGAGTTACCATTATATGAAGGATATAAACGCCCCAGCAATTTTCTGCCATAGTATGTAGACCCAATAGAAACATCAAATTCCAAATTTGAAACATTTTTGCTAAAAAGTGTGACACAAATCACCATAACCAAAAGTTATGCCTTTATTTCAGTTCTATGGGAGAATTTTGTGGGGTCTGAACAATTTTCATCAAAAAAAGTAAAATTTTGTCTATTTGGGCTCCAAATGGTTCAACATACATTTCTGACAACTTCAATGGTGTTTTCCAAAAAGTTCACACAATTTTTTTTTACCAAAAGCGATTTGGTCTATTGAGAAACTAAAATGTCAAAGTGCACCCACCATTCATTAAATCAAGCCGTTTTCTTGGAGATCTAAACGAAATTTTACCAACATGGAACTTGCAGGAATGGTTTCTATTCATTGAGATAAAAAATATGACTATATAAATACCTTCGACAATGCTCTTATATGACAACTATACCACAATTTGGATCTAAATATATATTTTTTGATTATCAAAATTCTACCGATATTTGTCTACTTGCGTTAATATGTAGAAGACGGATAAGACGAAATTATAAATTGGCCAAGTTGGTACTTTTAACAATTAAACTGCATAGCATACATCTATTCAGGGCTTTTGAATGAGGAGTAGGACAAAAATAAAAAAATTAGTTTGTCAGAAAATTTAAAATTTTACAATTTGAAGAGATTATTTATTAAATAGACTCCAAACAAAACTTGCCATTAAATTTTCTGATAAGGAAAAGAATTTATGTATACGAAAAGGAGAAAAAATATAATTTCGGATAAGCTTCTGGGAATCTGGCTGCAAAAACTGAACGGAATTTTAATATTATATCTTGTGGGTAAATTTCGGCGTTGGTATCAAGTTCCTCCGTCCTAAAGATTGCATGGCAATAATTGGGTAAGTCCACAAATTAGTTTAGTTATCTATATATGAAAATGAGTTAAAGATGACTGACTGACTGATTCATCGCCACGCCAGTCGAATCGTCTGAAGCTAGATAACTTTTGGAACTAGTAAATGGTACTAGATTTGAAACAGTTTGGTGCAGATGGAGCTGAAAATTTGAAATTTTGAATTGGAGTAACTGCTGGAGGGTAGGTTCAAGGTAAAGAGCTGGGGTTAGAAATTCGTTATAGGTATAGAATTGAGCTGATATTGCTTAAAATTCAAAACTTGGCTTAAGTGTTACTGTATAGGATATTGTACAAAATTGTATTACATTTGGTACAATTTGGTATTGGGCGAAAAGATATAGACGGAAATCTGAAATTTGGTATTAGGTTCGCTGATCTCGCGTAGCCTGGACATATGCAGGTAGTTTCGGGAATATATACTACGTTTGGTATTGGTTGAAGGGATAGAGATAACATTCTGAAATTTGATATTTAGATTATTGATGGTATCTATGTTTGAGATTTGGTGGTGGTTTAGAAATGCATAATATAGTTGTTCAAAAAGTACTAAATGGGGTATTGGGATGGTGAAGATATAGTATATTCAAGTATTAAATTTTACTAGATTTGCTATTAAGTGAATGTTTGTAGTTGGAATCCCAAAATTTGATATAAAGGTCTCAGTTAGTATCTGGAATTGAGATGTTGAGGCGTTTTTGGAAACGTGTGCTATAATTGTTTGAAAAGTACAAAATGGTACTAATTTGGACCACTGTTGTGGTCTAGGTTGCAGATATGTAAATTTGGTGTTGAGTGAATGGATAGAGTTGAAATTCTGGAATTAGATATTGTGGTTACTGTTGGTTTCGAGGGTTTACAGATGGATGTAATGATTTTTATAGAAAAATTGGATATGGATCAATTGTGCAATGGTTTTATTTATATCCTACTCGATAAACTTCAAAATAAATTATTATCAAAAGTTTTTGGTGTAAAATTTTACAATTTTCAAATTATTCTTTCCGAAAAAGGAATGAAAGCCTTGAAAGTCTGAAATTGTTGTTCGATGTAAGAAGTTTCGATTGAAAATGTTTTCAAATTGAACAACTTGGGCAATTTGAGTACTAAAATGGCCTAACACGATCTGTTGGAATGAATCTAAAATTGAAGGTGGACTTTTCGCTGACGAAGTAGCAGGCACTTGCTAGTTATATATACCCACAGTTCTAAGTCAATAGAATGATTAGTATTCTTTTGTGATTAGATAGGATTTTCCATTCTCTAAAAAATAATAATTTTTAAATAATAATAAATTTTTTACTAAACTCGGCTACGAAAAACTATATTTAAGCTTTTGTTTTGAGATCTAATCATCCTTTTTGGAAATGTTTCAAAGAGTCACACATAATTATAATAATTTTTACCATGAACCAAAAGAGCTTTCCAAAAGCCAAAAAGTGTTAGGGAGTATTTTAACAGGCATAAGAAGGCCGAAAAGAAATAGTCTGAAATAGTCCGGAGGACTATCCCAATATCTAATGTTGCATACTTCATTACAGAATGCAAGAGTTGCAACACACTCGATGTATGCGGCATGTTGTTTAAGATGTTACTATATATCTCAGAGTGTATTTATTCTGTTATTCTGTTTAAATTTTTCAAGCTTTGAAATATAGTTAAGGCCATTGCATCAGTGACTCTTTTGTGATGTCCCACATATATATCGTTATCATATATATATGCGATTTCAAGTATTTTTACGAATTAGCCATACTTATACCCACAACTTGGGAAATTTGTCATACCGAGTGTAACAACTCCAAATATAATAACGTTTATTTATTCATGATCTTGAAATTATAGGTATGTTGTAATTATTTGACGTAGAGTTTCGAAATTAGCACAACAGTTTATGTTGTGTTTATGATGGTTGGTTAATAAGTCTCTGAAACTTTATGTTCCACAAAATTGTCTCAAAATCTGGATAAAAGACATTTTTATTTTTTACAAATTTAGTTTTTTTTTCGTAACTTGTTTCAAATTTTCCTACAATTTCACTGTGCAAATGCGCATTTAACAGTACTCGGATTGTAGATCCAAACCCCAAAAGGTTATCTGGTTGTGAGCCAAACTATTTTAAGGCCTTTATATAGCCTTGACACATATACGAATGGATTCCAATCTTTTGAGATATATTTCGCAATGTTCAATGCAGAGATTTATATAGAGAGCTTTGGCTTTCCTCTCGAATCAAGGGTAAATACAGGTATTTTGAGTTGTTGGCAACTAGAAAGCCTTCTTGTAAAAATGTATGTCCACACTTTCGTAGCACTTATATAAAGATAATGTAAATGCGAACTGATGTAGCCCATCTCAATAACCATCTGCAACAACACTTCCAGTTTTTTATAGCTGAATATAATTGCGTCATTACCTTCCACAAGATAGTTGATTTGCCTATAGATTTTAATTATCTCTAAAAAGGAAGCCAGTAAAGAAAGTCTTAAAGTCGGGCGGTGCGACTTTATGATACCCTACCCCACTTTGCATATTTATTAGAGCTTCACATAACAAAAAGTTTTTAAGGTTATTTGTGAGAACTAAATCATTCCAATTATGACTATAGTTATAATTCCAAAAGGA